ACTGAAGTTATTAAATCTTTATCAAGTTTTTACATTTTTTGTAGCTGTAAATACCTTTTTATCTGTTTCAAAATAAACCATGCATGGAATTTGTACAAATCTTTATGGTTTTATCTTTTTTCTGATTTCTTATTGCTATCCACACCATAAGCTAAAATTCATTGTGATAGTAGGCTGTAGGTGATTCAAACAAAATTGCTGGTTTAGTTGTCCCCATCATCAGCTACTGTTCAAAACAAAAAATCTCTATTTTTGTTTTGTCTGTCCACAGAATATTTTTCCAAAAGTATAATAGATTATCCAGTACTCTTTGGCAAAATTCAGTCTTTCCTTTTTATGTCTGTAATGCAGTTTCCCTTGGTCTTTACCCATAAAACCATGCTTAGTTTAGTGTGTGCTTTATGGTATTTGATGAAACCACTGTCAGATTGTTTCAGGTTTTTGAATATTTTACAAAGTGTTTTTCCAACCTTCAAATACTTCTCTCATCTATTCTATGCTTAGTAAACTTTTTAATAACATTTGCCCACTGTTGAAACTGGGATAACCAAGATCCTTGGAGATGGTCTTGTACCTTTTAGAGGTCTTGCGCTTACTTATAATAGTACATCTGATGTTCTTGGGTAGCTCCTTTGACTTTATCATTGTGACAAAAGAATCAGGGAATAATATGTGATGTCATCATTCATTGACTAATTCCTATCATGTAGTTACTGACAGTTTATCAAGGTTGATTATAATTCCTTATTTACCACAGTTGAATCAAAATGTTTTTTATCGATTTTTTTTTTTTTTTTTTTTTTTTAAATTTCTTTTAAAGGGTGCCAATGCCAGCATTGCAGCAATCTTTCAGTTTTTCTATTCTTTCCTCATTGCTTTTTCTTAAACTTGTTCTTTTATCATCTATTGTCCTTTATCAACCATGAGTTGTTAAAAAACCAAAGCTATTTCACTAGATTTATTTATTTTTTTTTTTAAGGAGATATTCTACATTATGTACTGGAATTTCATGGTGCCAATAATTGTAACCAGGACTGATTATTTATATATATATATATATATATATATATATAACATGAAAGATAAACTATTAAAAATAATTTTCTTTAAAGATGGGAGATACTTAAATTATGCAGATATACATAAGTACATCAATAAATCTGTAGTCTGATGATGAAAAAGTTACTTTACACCAGTATTTTTCAACATAATCTCCTCCATTTAAGTCAGTGGTGAATATTAATCACATGGTCAAACATTATGCAATGAAAATTTCTGATCAACTTCAGCTGTGGACATATTAGTTCACTTCTATACATCCCTTGTATAATATGGGGGATGCTGAAAATATGAACAAGCATCAAATTTATTTTTTAAAATCTTTTCAAAGTGCTTCTTGGTTGAATCATGAACTTTTCAGCATCCTTTCATATTAAGGGTTGTATTTCTTTTAATCATTTCACCCCAAGCAAGGTGATAAAAGCTACTAAGATGTAAGGGGTTACTGAGAGTGAAAAAATAAGGACAATAAAACAAAAGATGATTGACATTGCATTTAAATTTTAAAAAATCTTAGTTGACAGGAAAGCTGGAAGAACTGTTAGCATAGAACTTACAGTTACATTTAGTAATTTCAACAGTGAAATTATGAGATGTAGCTGCCAATCTAGTACTGTACTTAAATTTGCATTGGTGCCAAAGAGGAAAACTCATCAGAATAATTACCATGAAAATATTTATAGAAAAGGTCCAAGGAAGTAGTGTTATGGTGGTGAGAAAGTGACTGAATCTGAGAAGCCAGGTCAGGACTAATAATATTGCACATTCTTCTTTGGATTCTGTCAAGAATCTCTATATATGTACCAGAAACACCAGACCAGATATGGACAGAAATATTTGCATGAATAAATGAATGGTAGACATGTAAATATGTAAGATTGTCTAGCACAATATATTGAGCTGACTTTCTTTAGCAGCAGACTTAGCAATTGATTCAATATAATCATTCCATTTCATGTCACTGGAAAACGTGAACCAAGAAGGTACAGTGAGTTGCTCTCCTGGGACCATGCTAATAGAAGGCAAAAAAGGTTCTTTAAAATAATTAATAAGTTTTTTTTAAGGCATTAAAGTTAGCAAGACATTTCTTGTCCCAGATAACAATAGATTGAAAGTCATTTTTGAGATCAACTACTATTTTAATTTTATCAACTTACTATTAAGATAGTAATAAATAGTTTTGTCATCAGCATACAGTCAAGAACTGGGAAGGTTGTTGATGAAAATATGGAAGGTCCAAGAATATAACCCCGAGGGGACATTTGCATTAATGCAGAAAGTTTTAGAAAAGTGTCCTTTCAAGACAACTATTATTATGTGATTAGATAAGATAGATTGAATAAATCAAGAAATCAACCAAAAATATCATAACCTTCAACTTGTGAAGAAGACCTTCATACCAAACCCTCTCAAATGCCTTCTAGATATTTAAAGCAACAGAGTTTAGAGAGAACAGGAAGCATTTCAGGAGGACTATTGCAGGGATACCATTTTATCTTAATAGTTTGATTAATGTTATTAATGATGACGATAGGTATTTTTCATTGGCCAGCTTATCTTTACTTTGGAGATTGATATTGTGGACATTGCTTACCTAGAATGTATCTGTTCTATACAGTACACTTGCTTTTTACCTATAGTTTTCTTTGTTTTAAGTAAACATTTTTCTAATTGGTACTTACAAACTGTATTGAATTTCCAGTGACACTGTTTGCTGAGAAGATCCGCCTCCACTGTTACTGCTTTAGTCTTAGTAGTCACATGTGCCATTTTCTTTCAACCAGTCATGCTATTATATTATGTACCTATTTATTTATTTTCTTGTTTGTTATTTGACTGTCTTGGAAATTGACAATAGCAGAGCTGTTGATAAAAAAATGTCATTAGTAGTCTATAAATTAACTTACCTTGCCATAACAGTGGCTTTAGGTTTAATGATAAATACATTCCTGTAGATAATAGACTTCTATGCTCCCATTTGTACCATACTTCTAAACTGCATCAGTGGTTCTTGGCTTTAATCATACTAAGATTTTTATAGCATATAAGTTAGTAATTTTTATGTCCCTCTTTTTTTTTTTTTTTTTTCTTTTTTTTTAATTGTTCACCCAATACGGAGCCCAAGAGCAACTAAAGCTAGGGGATTGTTGAATGAGTTTGTATAAGCACAAGAGAATGAAGTAAAAAGTGCAGCTCATGAGGATATGTCGGATAATTGTTGATTTTGTTGATTTGAAGATCATAGTGATCAGGGAAGCATTTTTTCAGGAATCTTCCACAAAGTAACAGTTCTTGTGAAAAAACGGAGTGGAACTTCCTCTTTACCAATGGAATATAAAGGGAATAATGGGGGATTCCACCCTGTCTAGATAGTATGAGGAGTTCTAACTGTAAAGGTTTTAACTGTTGGAACTAAAGAATGTTTGTCTGAAACATTTGACATGGAAATAGTGATAGTAGCAAAGGGCTTGCAACATTTTTTTTTCTGTGAGGAAAGAGGTTGTAGGGTGGAAAATAATTCATCACCCATAAGGCCACGTAAATGATTGTGAACTCTGTTAAGGCTGGAAAGTGAAGATTAAACAGTGCTAGTCCAGATATGGCAGCAATATTCCATTTTTGGTCTGATGTGACACTTTTAATGATAGAGCATTATAAGAAGAGTCAGGTATTTTCTGGAGTGGTACAAGAAACTGAACTTTTTTCCAGCCTATATAGTAATAGATCATATATATGTTCCACTTGAGGTCTTGAGTGAGCTTTAGTTTGTCTATTAACATTAACAGGCCTCAATGAAAATATAACCGTTCCTCATGACTGGAGAAAATTCACTGGGGACCAGATATTTTAAAATCTGAATAGTTTCTACAATGAGAAAAGTAATTGTAGGAAAAAAAAGTTTGGTAAGTTTTTTCATGGGTATATGAACACTATGGTGCCACTCTGTTGGATTGCTTTTTACTCTAATGATACCTTTATCTGGCATATATCAGTGATAATTAGTCACCCACTTTTCTGTAATGTTTTAGCTCCATACGAAGACATGCATGGTCTGATTGTATGAAAACAGTTATATTTATCTTGTAATATGTTTTAAGTAGCTTTCTTCTGGCTACTCTAATAATGTATATGTTAAAGATATATTGCTATTTTCTATCTCATTTTGGATGTATGCTGCCATTTACAGTAGATTATTTCAAATCAATTTGAATGAAACAGTGATTTTTCCTTTATTAGTGAATTATGATCATACAAATGAGTTTGAAGGTAGAACTGCCAGTTTTTATTCTGTTTGATGCTGGGTAATTCACTCTTTGTATTGACCAATTTTTCTTCTATTTGTGAAGTAATTATGTAATTGTTTATTTTATACCTTTTATATTGAGTAATTGTCAGTAGGTAATTTTTTTAAAGTCAGATCTGAGTAAAATAATGTTTGTTTGTGAATTTAATATATTTCTTTCATAATTACCACTTGAGAGAAGCAAAAAAAAATCTTTCATTGCTACTTGATAGATCACGTTTTTTTACAGCATAGCATTGACAGATCTTAAACTTTAAATTATGTTCCTTTTCATTTACTGAATATTGTTTTACTTTATCATTTCACCCCATGCAAGTCTGTAAAGCCACTAAGATACAAGGAGTTACTGAGTGGGAAAGAATAAGAGAAAAAAAAAGAGAAACATTATTAAAGAGCAAGAACAATAGAACAGTAATCAAGAAGACCATGGATAATGATTGACATTGCATTTAAATTTTTGGAGATGAAAATTGGCTGGAAAAGCATGGAACTGGAAGAGTTCCACAAGCAAGAAGTATGAGAAAAGAAACTGTTAGTAGAAAAATTATATTTTCTAAATATTTCCATTTTATTTTGTAATGCATTTAGTATATCACTTGTTTATAACTTAATCTCTTTTATTGAATTCCATTTTCAGCAACGCAAAAACCAACACACAATCCTAAGCAAATTGCAAGCAGAAAAAGTTGACTTCATAAAAATTGATGTTACTGATCCAAAGCACAATCAGGAAAAACTGCATATGCGAGAGCTCAGTAAATCTCGGAAGGAAGGAACATTTGCTGTGCCACCTCAAATTTTCAATGACTCTGAATACTGTGGGGTAAGTTTTGAAAAGGTTATCACATTAAATTTTCTTTGAGTAAAAAAGAAAAATACAAACAAATGTAACTGAATTTTTCAAGTGTGTGGAAACATTTGTTGTCCGCTAAAAGAAAATAGTGCAACAGTGTTTGTGTCTATATGACAATTTCTTGTCATGTAATTTAGACTTCTGAATTGACAGGAAATGACAAGAGACTTATTTAAAGCAAGAATAAATATTTATTCCAGTTGAATAATTGCTTAGAAAATGAGTTTGGGAAATTGGGGTGCCTATATTTGCAAGATTTTTTTTATAGCACAAGTGGAGCTGATGCTTAGCATTCAAAACTAGTTAGTGGATTTCTATAACTTTGAGAAGGACCATTAGTATTCTAAATATTGTTTAGACAATTGCACCCAGTCTTCCTATACTTGATGTTGTTAGCACATCATTTTAGCTGATTGATTCTTCAGCTCCTTAGATGTATATTTTTTTAAGAGGAAAAACATCTTTTTTTTTTTTTTTTTTTTTCCCCCAAGAACTGAAACATTTTTTTCTCCACCTCATCTGACTTTAGTTATTTCCATCTATTACAAGTTAACAAAGTTTTCATGATAGAATAGTGATAGATCACTTTAAACAACAATCAATTTGTATTACATGTATTTCATGCTTAAACTCAACCCAGACCTCAAGTAGAGCTCATACATATGCTCCATCACTAAAGATGCTGGAAAAATGGTTCCCTGAACCATTCTAGTAAGTATCTGACTCTTCGAACAAGAGCCAGATCAGGCCTAAAATGGAGTACTGCCATTTCACTTGTCTTGAAGGTGGTTCACTACCCACATTGTAGTGAACCACCCTCATTTCCTTCATATTCCATTGGTGTGATGTAAGTTCCACTCGAGTAACTTCCCATGAACCATGGCTTTGTGGAACCTACTACCGAGAGGATGCTTTCTTGATTCTTAACCTGTTCAAATTTAGGGTTAACCATTATCTTCCCTACATATTCACATAAACTGTGCCTCTTACTCTGTAGCCTTCTACCCCAAGTGGCTCTATGGCCTTATACAGTGATAGTCATATAAAAAAAAAAAATACTAGTAGTCGGGCTAGTAGGATTTCAGTTTTTGTTAAATAAATTGCATTTATTTTTCTTGGTTAAATCGGAAATCCAGTTGATATCGATATACCTGATCATTTAATTTTTAATATTTGTTTCACCATAACAAGATTGACTAAGTTGATCTAATCCTAAGATAAACAATTTGTTGTGTTGTAATCACATTAACAGAGCAAAACCATAAAATCTGCAGAGGATCAAATGTTATTAACATTTGATTTTAACGTAATTGGCAAATGATAAACAAGTGTTTTTATTTTGTTTTGTTTCTTTATAAATCTTAATGAAATGATCCTTGAATAGAAATGTGTGTTATAATTTAGTGTGAAATAGGTGAATTAGATTCTTCATCAACTGGGATCAAATTTTTATTTGATTCTGTTTCTTTGTCTGTTCAGACTGTTTAATCTCACTCATTTATTTTGTACAAAATTATTTTTCTATTTCTCTTTATTTGCTGCCAGAGTAATTTTCATTTTTTTTCTCATTTGCAAATATATTTTTACTAAAATGCCTAAATCTCAAATTTTTCAATGTATTTTTTGCTATGAATTTGTTTTTTTTTTTTCTATCTTTTTTCTGACATTTTTATTTATTCCAAGCTTTTACATTATTTTTAACATCATAACAATCATAGAAAGCTGATTGGGGCTCATAATTTTTTTTAAATATCTGAAAAAGTTTCTAAAAAGTATGGCAATTTCATTATAGAAAAAGAGTAAAGTGACTGATAAAATATTTTATTTCATTCTCTATCCACAAATGAATTTTTTTATTACTCTAAAATGATTAACAACAAAATTTGTTTGTTTGTTTTTTTTTTTTTTTTTTTTTTTTTTAAATGATTCTGTTTTTGTATTGGACTCCTGCTGATTAGGCTATACTGGTCTAGAAGTTGAAAGACTGTTTTTCTCTAACAGGTACAAAAACAAAACATTTTGTGAGATTCCATTTACATTAGCTTATTAAGGTTAGTTAATGTGTCATTTATCTGTAGCCTGTCCTATATGGTAATCATTCTGTGTGTTTGTATATTCAATTTAGTTTTAATTTTCATAATTCAAGAAGTATATTAATATATATTCATTGAAATGTATATGGTATATATACATAGGTGTGTGTGTGTGTGTTACATGTGAATATAAATCTGATTATTCATATAGGATTATGTTCAAACAATGTACTTCAAAAAGACATGGGTAAGGAAGATTTGCATATATTAAGAAAAAATCTGCAATATTTTTGTTGTAAATCTATATTTTTTATTATATGAACAAGTACTAAAAATTTCTCAGACTATCCAAAAAACCATTCCAAAAAATTCTGATGTATGGATATTTGATCAAATTTTTAATAGTTAATTTCTTAGACCAAGAAATTTTCAGCACCTTATCATATGTAACTTATGTAAGTATGTAGGATATATATGAGCGGACACTGAGGTCAACACTGAGTGATGAGTCTTTCATGCTTATCTTCAGGCCTGAAGATTATCTTAGTATGAAACAGACTGTCACCACTTGGTGCTGACCTCACTGCCCAATTTTATATTTATATATGCTCTATCGCTGATATTGAGCACTTTTACCCATAAATATGGCATACCTTAAATCTGTAGGATTAATGCAAATATAAAATTTGTCACTTAGCTGATTGGTGTTGTATTCAGCACCCTGACTCCAGAGTTTCGTAGACAAACCATTTTTTTGATAATTGTTCAATCCACTATCAATATCCAATCAATCCATATTCAGTCATGTGGATATGAGTTTGTAACCCTGGATTCCATGCTTGTGTGATCATCAGACAGGTGAAGAAGACCGGAGTGTACAATGGCTGAAACATCGTGAATATGGCAATAAAGATGAGGACAACAGCCTGAACACCATAAACAATGTAAATAATTACAACACTTCATCTAAGAAAAAGGAAATGGATATAACTTTAATGGAAATAATATATAAAACCATTGCAACTATGGTACTGTTTATGTTGGCATTTTTTGTTATAAATAAGTATATGTTAGAATTTTTTGTTATAAAAATAAGTATGTTAGAATTTTTTGTTATAAAAATAAGTATGTTAGAATTTTTTGTTGTAAAAATAAATATGTTAGAATTTTTGTTATAAAAATAAATATGTTAGATTTTTTGTTGTAAAAAAAGTATGTTAAATAAAAATAAATTATGTTAGAATTTTTTGTTATAAAAATAAATATGTTAGAATTTTTGTTATAAAAATAAATATGTTAGAATTTTTGTTATAAAAATAAATATGTTAGAATTTTTGTTTTAAAAATAAATATGTTAGAATTTTTTGTTATAAAAATAAGTATGTTAGAATTTTTTGTTATAAAAATAAATATGTTAGAATTTTTTGTTATAAAAATAAATATGTTAGAATTTTTTGTTATAAAAATAAGTATGTTAGAATTTTTTGTTGTAAAAATAAATATGTTAGAATTTTTTGTTGTAAAAATAAATATGTTAGAATTTTTTGTTGTAAAAATAAATATGTTAGAATTTTTTGTTGTAAAAATAAATATGTTAGAATTTTTTGTTGTAAAAATAAATATGTTAGAATTTTTTTTTGTAAAAAATAAATATGTTAGAATTTTTGTTGTAAAATAAATATGTTAGAATTTTTTGTTGTAAAATAAATATGTTAGAATTTTTTGTTGTAAAAATAAATATGTTAGAATTTTTTGTTGTAAAAATAAATATGTATGTTAGAATTTTTTTGGCGAAACTTTTATGTAGCATATTTTAAAAATTTTCACAGAAATAACACATCAATAAATATTAGCCTTTTTTTTTTTTTTTTTTTATTAAAAAAAGATCTTATGGATAAGGTTAATTTCATTTGAACTTTTTGATGTGGAATTTCAAAATGGTAGTAATGGTAATAATATATTTTGTGTTAATTTGTTCCCTAAAATTAACATCCTCTTAGTTCTATATATATTTTAAGTGTATCTTGTCTCTGAACTTTAAATTTACGTTCACACATTGATTTTTATCTCTACTGGAACCCATTCCACCTTAAGTGAGACTGGGCATGAAGTTATACCAATGTAAGAATATTCATGATTGGAATCTGTTTTCTTGATGACTCATGCAAGCATTAACAAGTTCATGGTGCCATGAGTTCAAAATGCAGAAGACAACACTCTTTAAACAACCTTGACTTATTATTTTGGTAGTATTAATTGCTAAAATTGTTTTTTCACAGCATCTTTTTTGATATAGTGTTTGAACTCAAACCGCTAATGCAAATGTGTAGGTTTTAGGATTGTATTTCTGTTTTATTTAATTTTGTTCCTTTGGGACAGTGTTTCCTTATTTCATACATATTATGTTAAGCCTAGTTTAGCTGTTTCAACTAAAATAATGATTTTGTTTGTTTTTTTTTTTAAGAGAGGCCAGCTGATTTCACTCATACTCTCTAGCATAACTGTATAGGTTATATGTAGCCTTTTAACAGTTTTTTTTTTTTTTTTTTTTTTTTTCCTGTGGAGGGTCAACCTTTTTTGAGGAGGTTGCATTGTGTAATTTTAATATGAAAGGCATCTCTTTAGGTTTTTTTTTTTTTTTTTTTTTTTTTTTTTTGGGCCTTTATTGTATAAGGTTAGAACACTTCAGATTATTTTTCTGGCCTTTAGCCAATCCAGAATCTGTGTGGTGGTCGTTTTGGATATTGTGTGAATGGAGCAACTTGCGCTGTAAGTTCTTATAGCCTCTACTTTATAAGTTGTTCTTTTTCTTTGTACAAATAGTGTGTTTAAGCTCTGTGTATCGTATTTTGTATGTTAAGAAAAGGAAGACCCTGAAAGAACACAAATTAAGACAGTAGTCTAAATATATAAGCACCTAATTCATCTTTGGTAAAT